TTTCGCTTTAAAATTTACTTGATCCACGCCTCTAATTCCTGTTTATGACTGTCATATTAGCGAAAGGCGAATGGATATATTTGCATTTTATCAAAACACAGAGAGAACTCTGCAGAGTCTTACACAAACCATATCGGTTCAAACGTGTTTTATAACACTGGCTGATTTAACAAATCGTTACGTTTCAATTCAGATATAGATAAGTTATATGTGTGGGGGTACCTAGCCTGTCGTATTCCTGATGGTGTTCTCGTGACTTTCGGGTTGTCTGATCTACCAAAGGCGTTGGGACGCTATTGTTGTATGTTAGGATCCAAGAGGGTTATATGCTATATGCATGTTATCCGCTCCTTTATTGTTCCTACTTACCCCCAATAATCCTGGCACAGCCGAGGGTGAGGAGAGTCCACTATCACTCTCGAAATGCTCTCACATGGCCACGCGTATACAGCTACTGACAGGGATTCCCACTCACTGCCTTCTCGCGGCGGAGATATTGTTTGAAGAAACTGAGAGGACGGAAAGTAAATGTCTGGCGCTTTAACCGGATCAATGGGTACAGAGGATCCACCCAGGGGAGTTAGGAAACCCTGATTCCAAACCAATAGTGCAAATGGGCTCCGGGATCCTGAGGGGCGAATAGCATATGAACCTATTGTTGGTCATCGACTACCATGAGACGGCATCTTCTAACGTCTCTCCACTACTTTTTGAATTAGATCTATAGGTCAAAGGCTCGGGAAGTGACCCCCTAAGAACACCACCTACTTTTGTTTTGGCACTTGGGTATTATCCCAGCTCATACACAAATCAATGATAATTAATGCTGGAAAAATTTCTCTTGTTTCAACGCTCATTCACAAAAGTCATATTCACAACCATTTGGTTACAGTCGTTTTTGTTTCCTTTGTACTTCGTCACTTATGTACTCCTTATTCTCACTTTGCGTATTTTATTTCATAAGTTATACAGAAGTTCATCCATGGTGGAAACCCTATCCTATCTAAACGATCACAAGTCACCGACTGGTCGAGAGTCGATTGCTACCACTGATTACGAATATTAAAACAGTCTTTCTAGAACCACGTATGCCATTCAAAATGGCTACCTTAAACATTCGCATACTAAAGCAGATCAGAGAGCAGACAGGGTTGACTGTGTTTAGAAAGCTTCAACAACTGTGTCTGCTGTCTATCCGAGACCTGTATTCAAGACTATAGTAATGTACTACAAATTCGCCCTCCATCTGCCACTTCGCAAAGCTTGTTTTACTTGCGTTTATCCGGGGACACTGTGGCATCTTCGTCTGGTTTTGCTGACATTGTTGTCGCACCAAGCGCTAGAGCTAAAGCAGCACTGATCTATTGGACTCCCATTAACAGTTGTTTATGTACTGTTAGATTAGGAAGTTCCATAAAAGTGTGAAGAAATCGTTGTGATAAATGATGTGTTTTCGTCGTCTCCGTCTATGCTCTGACAGATTGCTGCCCGGATGCGATCAAGAATCATTTTTTACCACCAGTTAACTGTTCTTCTACAGAAAGTGCTTTCGAAGATATGTAGTACTAGCCGAAGATACAAATGGTCAGGTCAAGCATCTAGGCACAGAAGAGAGTCGTTTAGATAGCCGATGGGGACTTGTTGGTCGCAGGTTAGATAATGATAACCGTCTACTGCAACTTTGCATAGACTCAATCTGTTTCTGGTTAGCATAAACTAACAGCACAGTCATCGCCGATGTGCTACCCGGTGTCCTTCCTCTACATCTCAAACCTGAACTCAGATTGATTATATTGCGACTAGCTACCGCTGGCCAGGTTGTGTACAAGGCTACCGCTTTTTTCGGAGTGCCTATCTAGACTCTGATCTTGCACTTGTTTGCGATAATCTTACCTGACGTTTCAGTGACCAAAAAGTCCATTGTCTTAAACTGATCGATGTCAGTAAATTGGTCGCAGCTCCTGTTGCAACTAAATATAAACCTGAGTTAGGTTCAAGGCCAGCTACCATCCCACCGAAAATTATAAATGATTATTAGTTGTAATTGCATGACGCCATGAAAATGGAGAGTAAAGTAGCTTGCAGCTTCGTGAAACGTCCCACTTTCAAGCACTGGGTGTCTACAAGCTCCTTACATTTCACTGTATCACGTCGGTCTATTGCGGGTGACTGTGAGTTTGACCATAAACGAAGATTGTTACCTAGTAAAATAGTGCAAAGCTTGCGTAAGGACCGAGAAGCCTGGTGGTCGGAGCTTGCTAACGAGTTAGGAACAGCAGCTGAATCTGGTAACTTCTGAAGGCTCTTTCAACTCATCCGAGTCACCGGTAGCGAGGAGTCTGGTGTGAGTGAAACAATCTGTGAAGCTAACGGGACGCCAATCAGTGACATATGCCGACACCTTGGACGAGGGGCAGCTTAGCTGGTCTGATGCCCCGGGACATCGACCAAATTGTCCCGCCCCATATGGACCATGACGACTGATCCCCCTAACGAGCTGAAATCCGCAAGGGACCCCAACTCTTAAAGCGCAACGAATCACCAGGTCCAGACGACTTACCTCCGGTCATTTTCAAAGATGGTGGCGACTTCCTGATTATGGTACTGACTTACTCACAAAGGTCTGACAACTAGAGAGTGTTCCAACATCGTGGAATAAGTCCGTTGTTGTCCCTATCTTCAAAAAGGGTTCACGTCTTTTATGTAACAGCTATCGGCGGGTAAGTTTACTTCCGATTGCGTTCAAACTATTGACTTACACCATACTTCGTAGATTGTTCAAAACCTGAGAAAGATTGACTCATGAGAAGCATGCTGGTTTTAGTTTTGGTCGAAGATGTATTGATCATATCTTCACCCTCCACAAAATGGTAGAACACCGTCATACTTATCATAGGCCAACAATCGTGTTTCTTGACACTAGGAGCGCCTTCGGTTCGTTGGAGTGGACTGTTCTCTGGGATTGTCTATAGAAGAAGGATGTGTCTGAGTTTATTAACATCTTGAAATCTTATATACTAACACCTCAGAGTGAACGCACACAACCGGCTCACTCCACTGGTATATTAAATCAATGGGGCTAAGCATGGTTGCCCAATCTCACCATTTTTCTTCGACTTTGCTATCGATGATGTTCCAGAAACAGCTCTGGTGGATTTAGGTAATGGTGGTGTGAATCTGCTGTCTGGAGAACGACCTTGAGTATGAGGATGATACTGTCTCACTGTCCAATGATACTCAAGCCATGCAATCACCATTTTATCAGTTGGCAGACCGTATCCGTAGGTATGCCATGTGTTTCGCACCTTCTAAGTGCAAAGTACTTTTACAAGACTAACAGGACTCTAATCCCGTACTCACCGTCGGTAGTGAGCAAACAGAAGTAGTCGAGAAGTTTGTGTATCTGGGTAGGTACATAAGTGCTAATGGTGGCGTGAGTGATGAGACCAATTCATGTATATTGAAAGCCAGAGTGGCTTATGTCAAGTTGGGCCATCTTTGCTGTCGTCATGATGTTAGTCTAGCTGTAAAAGGTCGGATCTACAAGGCATCGGTGAGAGCAGGTTTGCTCTGTGCTTGTGAGACCTGGCCTCTCTAATTTGAGGGTGTTAGACGAATCTGTTTTTTCACCACTGTTGTCTCTGAACGAATGCTGACATCCAGCGGCAACACTATTTTAGTAATGCAGAGGTTCGGCATCGTGTCTTCGGGCACAGTGACGATAACTCAATTAGTGTCAGTATCTTGAAACATCGACTTCGGTGGCTTGGACATGTTCTACGAATGTCATCCTAGAGACATCCACGTCGTAAATAATTTTTCGGCACCGAGACCGGTTGGGGAAAGCAGAGAGGTGGTCGGCGTATGATGCAGTGTCGTGGTATGAAAGAAAGTTGGACAGTACTGACTTCTGTTGGTCCTTCACCACGTCCTGGTTGGGTACTAGAGATAGTGCAACACAGTGACTAGAGACGTTATCAGACGTGGTTCAGCTTAGAAACCAGTGAGGACCCTGTTGTAACTTTCTTTTACTTTCTTTGTAAAAGTGAACGTAACTTCTTTAAATAGAAGAATTCTTTCTGGTTATATCTTTACTAACAGAACCGTTTCTCTAATTATTATTGTTACTGTTGTTATTATCTTGCTCTCATACACTAATTTTTGTTCGTTGTTGTTCTTCTTTTTATTATAGGTAATTTATATTCCCTATCCCTTCACAACCTTATTGTTATTGTGTAACACATATATATTTAGTGCCCCTTGTACCAATGTATATGTGTTTAGATAGATAAACATACGTGTGGAGTAACTATTTTTTAATACCTGACATGGATATTTCATTCGTAGACGGTTGATAAAATTGTGATATCATTAACGTCCATTAATCTCCACATATTCCCATACTGTTAGTATTTTCTATTGTTGAGAAGTGTCAAGAAAATTACACGCCTTGGAGACAAACAGACATACAATAAGATTAAATACAACTGTGACATCAGTTACTTTGATGTGAGTCATCGATACTGTGTAACTTACTGAAAGAGATATGAAAAGTGTTTAGTTAACAGTTTTCCTTCAGATATATATGTAATGTAAACATAATTTAATAGATACAACCTTTCATAAAAAAGAATAATTTGAATCTAAAGCTTCTGTGAATAGTCCCATGATCGGTACACACTGTTCAGCTATTCAAATATCGAGAATTGTACCAGACATAAGTCTCAGTGTGGACATTAACACAAGGATCCATGTATATGAATTTGATGAGTACTAAATAGGACAAAACTATCGTCTCGGGTTTCATTCTGACCGTTGGTTAAAATATATAATTAAACTTACAATCGAAAGGTAAACAAAACCATGAGCTTTGTGTGTATATTAAACTATCAGAGACTGACTAAAACTCATCGCTGAATATCAGCAACAGGAAAACAAAACCACTAATAAATAACTATATGAACGTCTGTTCATAAGTTCATGCTAAAAAAATAGCTCACTTTATCAACTAGACATGGCAGATTTAGTGAATTGGTTGAGAAGCCCATACTGAAAACAATAGCTGCTTCTTGTCCAACAAATTCAGCAACCAAATCTTCGAGTTCTTTGTGTAATATTAAGCTTCCGGCCTCTTGTCTAGAACTTGCCACACCTACACCGAATTTTACTGTGGCTTTTTCTGTAGCATTAGTACAAGGTCCGGTGGGATCTCCGAATCCCAAATAATTGTATGATCCGAAGTTCAAAACCTTCGATTTTGTTCCTGTAAAACTGAAATGAACGATAGAAAAATAAATGTAAGCACTAAGTGAAGGGTGAAAGTTCGTTTTACATACGATAACTTAATCGAAAGTGAAAGTAATAAACAATACCGAATTTGTATAGAAATCACCATCATCAGCATCACTATCCAAAAGTATATATACGACAATCTGATAATAAAGCAGTATTGTGTGAATTCACAAATAATTTAGAGGAAACATTTGAATTTATTCCCAAAGATCTGTTATTGTAGTGTATTTACTTGGTTTCCGTAAATAAAATGAAACTAGACCAAGATTATAGTTGAGATCAAAACATACACACTGTAAATCCCAAATATGCCATCTCTTTAACTTAGAAAACCGATTCGAATTATTTAGTAGTAAGTTTTTCCCATGAAATCTTTTTCATTGTGCAAGTAATCGGTCAATATGTTCACGTGCGTTCACACCAAATAATATAAAATCAGCTTGGTAGTCTTTTATACTTTCCAAACCTATGGCGACCTCATATATAGCAAGAAAAACACGTAAAGTAAACTGTAAGAAATTGTAGTGAATTAAGCTTTCACTTAATTGACTCGAGTGAAATCTTGACTTTTCATCTGAAGTTGTTCGAAAAAAATGTGTTTGTTAAGTCTATCTTCTAAAAGAAACTATTATCAAGAAGTAATTTATATGCCTTAAAATTTCATAATCCATACACCACAGTTGCGTAACTCAGGTTTGACGATGGTTCTAAATTCATTAAAGCTCATTGGGGATCGTATCTTCTTTCTCAAGTACTTTTCCAATACAAGTTTTTCATAGTATTTTCATTCAAGGTCGACCAAACAGACGATCTGTTTGTATAGGATGGTGTGGGGCTTGGTCACCACATGATTTATTCTGATCCTCTTTGATTTTCATACTACTCTGAAATGTTCTTAAATGAACTGCAATTAGACTCATCATACTTATGGTCGTCGTTTGAACGATGCATAGGCTATTTTTCGTAATAAAAAGCAACAGGTTCCTTGTTGGAGTTAATTTTTTGCATTAAAACGTCTTAAGTTCCCATAATATGCGGTTACCAACCAGTAAAACTACGAAATTAAGCAGATATGTTCGGGGCCTCCAACTTAACGAATACTATTCTTAATTTTTTGTATGACAAAAGGAAAATGATTATCAGTATCTAAAACAAAATCGGGACACAAATCGCGTTTTCATACCATTTAGACACGCACAAATCATTGTTATCTGTAACATCTAAGGCCATTTATCCAACTGTATGGACTGAAACAATTTCTTAAGGCTCAAATTTACAGAAATACAAGTTAATGTTTTACAGTGATAATATATATAGTTAATAAGCATTTGGTAGGACGATTTAATCCATATTGTGCTTTTTTAGTCGTTCATACTTTTATTGGTAGGTCTTGCCCACTGTACATCATATTTAATCATTTAATATCCACGTACTTCAGCTTTTTATGAATTATACTAACTTTTTTATTCAATAGTATTGAATGTTTTGTTGTATTTAATAACACTATACAATAAAATTACTTTCAAAGCTCGGAAGCGCCTTCTAAATTCTTATATTTACTTGGAATTTTTAGTGATCATTTCTGCTACCATATTGTTATTTAGCTGAGTGTGGCAATTAAATTAACTGACGGTTCCTTTGTACTATATTGGGCACTTACTACAAATTCCAAATATTATACGTCCAGTTGTTCTCATCTAGTTCTTACTTAATTACTCGTGAAGAAGCATACGCCGCCCACCAGCTTTCTTCATCAAACTCTGTTCTGGGTAATCCTTTCCAGTTGTTTTCAGTTGCTAATCATTCTTTTGGCGTCTGCTTCCCATATCCAACGCAATATGTTCGTAAGTCTTCCTCTTTTTCTACCTGCCTTATATTGCACTGTTTCGTGCATACTTGGCAAATCATCTCAAATACGTCTTATTATTATAATACATCAATAGATTCTTGGTGACTGATTTTGAATATCTGTGTTTACAGTTGAAGAAAATGTCGCGCATTCATAGTTGGTTCAGCTTTTTCCAGTTACTCTATTGACAAACTGGTGATTTCCGATGGAGTGAAATTTTGAAAAAATTCTCAGCAGTGGTCAAAGGAGGGATACAGTGATTCTCATGGGTGTATATCTTTCTTCTTAGAGATAAAAATTGGGTCTTTTCCAAATATCCTTGTATTTGACTGTGGAACCTAGTAGTATACAATGTTCGTTCCGAACACTTAAATTCTATATGAAAAACCAGTTATACTGTTTGGAATAACCGACACTAATCAAGTTCCAAGCAATATTTACATACTCATCAACACAACGAGGAACAGAGTCACAGTAGCGATAACAACAGAAATAGTAAAAAGAATCAAGATTATTCGTTTGCTTTTTAGATATTTATCTGAAATATTGCGTAATCTTAATATCATAAACTCGCTTTAAAGGTTTACATCAGTATGTGGTGGGTATAGGACGGTTTTATTCACGGATGATGGGGTTCTTAATTTCTAAGAGGTTGCTTCCGTTGCTCTCGTTCAGCTCGTAATGTAAAAGATATGTGTAATCAGCCCTTATATACCGTAAACAAACGATCATAAAGGTTGAAATAGGGGGAAATGTGTCTTAATTCGCAGCTCAGTAGTTGAAAACTTACTGTTTTAGAGGCTACAGTGTGTCATCAACGCTAAATAAACACAGAAAAATCCGTAAATTCTCCCCCAAAAGATTAGATGAAGTTTCCTTGCATCAAAGACAGTGATGAATCATAACTGTGAGGAATAGTGCAAAGTCGTAGATAAATCTGCGATATGCATCTTAAACTGCTAATAAAATTATTACCACATAAGGCATACTGAAAATATGTGAAAAAATATCTCAGAACATGAATACCTTATACCACGAGAAGTGCTTGAACATATAGAGGTTAAAATAACAATTTAATCAGAACGCCACCAAGTATTGTTAGCTACTAAAAATCAAAGAACATATTTCACCAACGAAATTGAGAAAACAATTAAATCATTACAAGAGATGACCAATGAGTGAGATTTTTTATAAAAGCCAAAGAATAAATTAACTTTTGGGATAAATAATTGTTTGATTACATTTCTTTACTTAAAAAAACATGTTGAAAAACGAAGGCTTTTAAATTTGTTAGAACTGCGCGTGTATAGAAAGTAGTAATCATGATAACTTATTTCAACTCACTTCAACGTCCATCCATAGTCCGGTGATTTACGATCCATTACTACGATTTCACTACCTGGAGCAGAACAAATAGGTCTACTCCAACAGTCTTGTGCCCTTCGGTATAGATTGCGGGTATAAAAGCCTCATAAGACGAGTAAAGCGGGACGAAAGATTTAGTGTGCGGTACTTCTGCTACTGAATGATTTTCTAATACATGAATTAACCTCAGGAAATCTTGAAGCCTCCCCAAGATGTTTAATATTAGAAAGCTTAGATACGTGAGTACGGCTGTAAACAAAGGAGCTCCCTCGAAAGACTCATAAAATTCCTCTCCCGTTCTAGGGCGTCGGAAGTCTTTCATTTCCTCTCCAAGTGTAAAACGAACTCGACAAACAGAAAACACCCCTGCGTTAACACACGCGCCACTTCTCGTATTAACTGTTGCTTAGCTAAAACTACACATTATACGTTAAAACAACTATTCTCGAATCGTAACAGCATTTGAAAAAGCGAAATTCTTTTCGTGTTTTAGACGGTGCGACTTTCTGAAAATAAAGAGTCTTCTCATTATAAGTGAGCTACTTGAGAATGAAAGTGCAAAATACGATCTTGATTTTCATTTCAGAGGGGTGTATGGTCTGTGTATTTCCTACTACCGAACCTTAAATTAATAACAGTTAGCCAAATTATTTCGGTCAGTATTCTTCATTTGACGATACACTCTCATCATGTTCAAATAACAAGTAGGTTTAATATTCACCTCTGACAACTAGATACATCAGGCCTGCCTCCGCCAGACCTAGTGAAGCTAACCCAAATGAACTCAGACAACTCGAGGCATATTGTCTCCAGTACTACCTTTCACGCACATTAGTACGAAGCGTACTCCCCTTTCCACCAACCAGATTTTCGGAAAGAGAGGTGATCATACTGATCTCCACCGCTTTATGCGGATTGGTTGATCAGCTTAGACCATTTGTTTGCAGCTCACGTTAGCTAACGAACAGTGTTCAGAAACTCCAAGGTAAGATGTAAAGCTATCGATCGGTCTTTGCCTTGAATAGTTTTATTGTGAAATTGTATAAAGGTCATATTACGTAAGGCAATCCTGCGAAACTTACCATTAATTCTTTCCGATTATGGATTGTTCAAACTGTTTGGAATAACATTGTTTTTAATTGCCGATAATTAAACATATGAGAAATGTTGAATGATAATACTGACAAGCTGGAGCTTCGAAGTGAAATACATGAAGCGGTATAGTGGTAGAGAAGGTGACAATCGTCAAAATATAGAACATATCGTCATCAGCTCCACTTCGGTCGCTAGTACATCATCGTTAAAACACCACTGTTTATAGTTCTGGAACAAAATATCAAAATATACTCATAAACTATGCCTTCAAAATAACTGTTTACTGTGATATAGCAGTTATAAAGAGGTTCCACGCATTGATATAAACATGGTCAGACTTTAGATGGTAGTTGGAGGTAGTCAACAGGAAACCCTGGACCGGGTTTCGTGCTACTTGGCACTCGTCAGCAAGCTGTACCTGTACCTGCAGTGTCGAGTCACCTAGACTGGTGGCCACATTGCAACATGATCGATAGCATTCGATCTGCACTAATAAGGACTAGACAAGCATGACATTGATCACCACTCAGTGATCAATCAATTGTGATTACATCTCAGTCCTACAGGAGGTCAGTCACGGCTCGGATAGCTCAGTGGTAACGTCTCTGACTGTGAAGCTGGGTGACACGAGATCAAATCCGCCAGGGAGCACCAGTTCCCTCAAGATTACAGGTACACCTTTCTGACGAGTGCCAAGTAGCACGAAACCCGGGTCCAGGGTTTCCTGTTGACTACCTCCAACTACCATCTAAATCTCAATACATAGTGCCCGCAGTGTCGAGTCACCTAGACTGGTGGCCACATTGCAACATGATCGATAGCATTCGAGCTGCACTAATAAGAACTAGACAAGCATGACATTGATCACCACTCAGTGATCAATCAATTGTGATGGTCAGACTTTAAAACCCTCGAAATAGAAATAATTAGAATGTCATATACCACTTAGTTGAGGCCTCAACAATAAAATCGTGTGAAGTATGACATTGACGACTTTATGTTATCATATCGCACTCAAAATCGAAAATACAATGACACAATTGACTAATTAAAAATAATAAAGCAAAGTAAAACAAGGAAGCTCAACATGATAGGACTGACTAGTTTGTTCTCCTGTTTCTCTTTAACTAACTAAAACCAATATATCACGGTGGTAGTTACTCACAACCAAAGTACTTGTTTCACATCATGTTAACGAAGATTTGTCGAAAAACGTCAAAAAGCATATGAAAATTTAAAAGTACCTAACTTGATTATCATTTAATCTACTAGATGTGAAGATTAAGGAAAGACCAAAACTTTTCAAAGCATAAAATTTTTGTTAAAGTTAAGTATAAATAATAAATGAAATGAGTGAAGCTCGAATAGCAAAAAAGAGTTAAAGAAAGGAACTTTACTCAAAAGAAATCACTAGTGAAAGACAGAAATTGTCATGGCAGTGAGAGATAAAAATGCATTTTGCTAATGTTTTTCTACAGTTTCGACTTTGTTGCAAGGATGAGTTCAGAAAAACTTGGTATTTACGAAGCTATTTGAGTATCAGCTACTTCAAAAAATTCTGAAATATTAACATCAGGTCTATTATCATGTAGATGGCAGCAATAGCACTAGTGAGAGCAACTTCACCTTTTAATTTCAACTTCTAGGAGTGCACTAAGAGATGAAGAAAAGCACACTACTTCCTGTTCTTCCAGTGCAAGCGCTTTAAAATGACAATTTAAACTGATATATACGATTGGAAGTAACTCCAGGTGAGGATTTGATAACTTTAAAACGTCTCTTGAGACAGCTTCTCTGATACATTGTAGCTAACAAAGTGATTAAACAGAACTTTTCCAATTCAGGACTTAGTCTGGGAACAATTAGTATCTATATTTTATCACCTACGAAGCTAAATGGTAAAAAGACACACCCTTGCGAATGCGTGAGTTTGTAGTGGCATTGGACAATAGCCACACAATCCACAAAGCTGTGAACACGAGACTACTCAGAAAATAGATATTCAATATTTAACGCGGAGAAATACCTAACAATGGAGAAGGTGCGAACAATGAATTGAATGGACTGGGGTTGATCGATTGGCATGGCTCGGCCATGCAGGCGTGGTCCATCTGAATATTACCTTATATCTTCTATTCATATTAAATATATTGTTCCTTCTCTAGCCTAACCTTGTTCTACATCATGTATTGGTAATTGATACGATACAATGAGTTGGTGTAGTCGATGGTATGACTTCCACGTAAGATCTTATAGAATAGGCAGTTATATCATGACAAATCTACAATTTTAGGATTAGGTCTATTATTAGAGCAGTACTAATACCATAGTAGACCATAATTCTACATTGGTGAGCCCAACTAAAGAAGCGCAACCTATTATTGCTAATCCTTAGATCCACCTTAACGTTCTCAATCGATTTTTATGTGTAAACTCATTATTCTAATAGTCCTCTGATTAATGCTCACATGTATTATCGTAATGTTATATTGATTAGTTCTCATGACTTACTAGCTCAATCAATAATAAAAGCTGATCGTCTATATCAACTAATTAGCTTTGATGGTTCGTTAACAAGCTTTAATAGCATTTACTTGCTTCAGCGACATAGACTTGTGTAAACATCAAGCTCTAGCAAATATGACCTGTAAATAGTGTAAATATACATTGACTAACAATGCAGTCAAGGACTAAATAGTTATCTCGATCTAGTTCTCAGTGTTCCTTCACTTAACACCTCATCCTGTTTTAAACTATGCACTATCCTGTAATATCTTTTCTTCCGACCACTGCCTGCTTAATTTCATATTCTCGAGTTCCATTGCCAAACAACAAGGATGACACTACTAAAGCATACGATGGCTCATTTAATGGCAACCACAAAATTATCTGGATTCATTCAGTTGTTCTGATCAGAGCAAGTCCCAAAAACCTCAATAGCATCAAGCACCCTGGAAGTGATTTCCATTCTGCATGTTTTATTCTGGATGCTTTTGGATCATTACTACTCCTCATGAATGGCGTTATATACGTCGTCCACTGAATAATCTAGTCTTCAAAAATAACCCAGGCGAGTTCAACTTTTTTACTGGATGATATTTTTTGTACTTAACATGTATATGTTTTCCAGTTGCTTTTGCCATTTGTAAGTGTCCCTAGGCTAAATGCAGTAACTTCTTATGGAATGTTTATAACAAGTCATATTCCTGCCTGAAGTTTCACAAGCAGTCTTAACTTTGAATTTATTTATCTGATCATGTTCATTATTTTTAAATTGTCATATACATCAACAACCTGATTTTTAACCCGGCCCGCACATACGTTACAATATATCTTCATGTCTTCTAAATTTAGAAATCATCTGAATCGCCTTTAACATTTATCAATAAACCCATCATAGTCGTTGTTGCTAATCGTATTTGGGTTTATGGATTAGTTTATCATATTAGCAGCCTAAAATGCGAACATAGTTTGAATAATAAGATTAAAAATTTAGGTACTATCAACTGCACTAGTAAAATAACTAAATCCCCAGGTAGCTGTTGGCTAAACAAACGTTTAAAATCAAAACTCCGTAGCCTACTAGAATTAACACTAAACGAATATTTCTGAATTGAAATTTATAATTAAATTAGGCGTCTCGGATTCTTTAACGTTATAAATTTCTGATGATTTCGAATCACCTAAAGCAACAATACCTATTTTTCCACTGACTAATCCTCAATCAACACTATAACTAGTTAAATTTAATAGTTTCAGGATATCGTCATAAAGCATTGTCATAACTTGACAATCACGTAATATGACTGATAAAATTAATGAAACTATTAACAAAATCGGTCAACAAATTGACTTATAATTACCATTAAATGGTGTTGTTTTCTTGGTATCTTCATCCATCACAGATGATTACAGTATGTTTCTCTATCAGTTGCTCATTCAGTAAATATCTCAAAACCTTGTCAGTCTAATTGATGGTTTAGCGACACAATCATGCATGCAAATAATCAGTATAAGCAGTCGAGCAAATCTCCTGCAAACTGAAAACATCAATGTCGAATTTACCCCAACACTGACTAAGGTTCAAGCCATTATCATAGACATGAGTTGGGAGTGTACTCCCCTGGTTACAACTTATGTTCTCCCTGATAATCACATGAGCATCACTCACTATTAATCATCTTGTAAAAACTTATTTAGCTAAATACATCTTGCAGCACCACATCAACTAGTAATGTGACACATAAGCTTAACTGATTTCAATAACTTATAACCACTATATCTCAATTAAATCGTATTCCGCCTTATGATAAA